GCTAATGTTATCAATTGTTACATATATTTTTCAAACAAACAGATTGAATTCTAAGAAAAGTAATTCAAATAATTTTCTATAGCTTGTATTTTTTTTTTTTTTTTGTATTTCTTAGAAATAAAAAATAAATTTGAGGAAATATTTTTAATTTTAAAGAATTTTGCTTACACAATATCTATAAAATCCATGCACATTAAAAAAAAATCATGTTTTTTTATACTTTTTCTCTCTACACTCACCAGTGCAAATCTTTTATGAAAGACTTTTTTTCACTCAGTTTCTAAAATCATTTTAAATTCCTGACTAGTAAAATAAAAAAGTATTTTTCTTGATTAGAAACCTGAAATTATTTAATCCCAGTTATGTTATTTGGCACTTAAAAAATATTTGGTATTATATTTCTGGTAATTTTTCTGTTGTTTTATCATAATTTAAGTATTGTCTTATGGCCACATCATATTGAAACATTTGTTCGCGTACGATCAACGAATTTAACCAATGCTAAGCCTGGTTAATACCTAGATGGGTGACCACTTGGGAATATCAGGTGCTGTGAACTTGGATGTGCAGGTGAAGTAATGGGTATAATGGCTTGGAATTGTTAATCAGAGAGCTAAGCTCCAATTCCAGTTGGGTTTGTTTTATCCATTTATCCCAAATGCCCTTGGGAAAGGTATCAATCCAACTCTTCCTCCCATCTTGTATCATTATCTCAAAAAAAAAAAAAAAAAAAAAAAGAATTGTTACAATCTAAAAATATTTCCTGGTTTTAAATAACCTGCGAAGGGTTAATAAGCTGATAATAATGAAAAAACTGAAGAACATTGTAGTTTTCTACTAGAGTTATGTACTTGCAATAGATCTTAACATGTCAAGAATTATTAAGCGGGTAGCATGGAGCTCAGTTGATGTATACAAGCACAAAAGGGATAAAATTCTTTCACCTGATTATTTCATTGCTATTGTGAATGTACAATTTGAATTTGTATTTTTTTTTTTTTTTTTTTTTTTTTTGTTTACATTTTATGGGGTTGAAATTGTTCTTAATGATTGTTCATGCATAAAAGTGAATGTTTAAAATAAATATTAAGTCAGTCTATGAGTCTACTGGAGTGTACAGAATTGATCTTGTGACGCTTTCATATTAACTTCAATCACTGCTCACTTTCACTACCAGTCACAAGGTTGTGATCTTGTGACTGATCACTGGTGAAACTGCCTAGTTGGCTGGTTGTCACCCACTTCTTCATATTTTGTTTAATAACCATGTGATCTTAATTTTCTGGTCATATTACTTTACAACACAATATCTTTGTATATCTTCTAACAGTGGTCAGGTGTTGAGTAGATATACTTTTAGGTATTTAAGTCTTTTGTTTTATCATGTTATGATAAGTAGTATAGTCATCTTATGATTCCTTTTTAATATATGTGCATAAAAATATAGGCCTTTGTTTTCTTTTTATATTAAATTTGACTTTTTAAAAAAGGTTTGTAAGTTACTGAAAAATATTAAAACACTAATTTTAAAAATGTTTATAAATAGTGTATGGTTTTTGTTATTAAAATTTTAAGCATAACATTTTAAAACACTAAACATTGTTGAAAGAGTATATAGTAATAACAGTGTCAAGAGAAAATGTCCTTTTGTTATACTGTTTTTTGTGGGCATGTGATTAAACATTGCCACTTAGTTTTCTTTTTATATAAATTTGAACATTTTGAAAGTTTTAAATAATTTTAAAATAACTCCCTATTAAACAAGACTGAATTTTTATTGTCATTACTGTGCTCTTTTTAATTAATCAAAAAAAATTAGACTGCTAAACTAAGTAATTTTATTTTTTGCTGTTGAAATGAATCTGGCTTAAATTTATTCTTGACTCATCCATGTTTTTTTTTTTTTTTTTTTTTTTTAAACAAAAGTGTAGGTTAGTAAAAGATGAATAATCTTGTATATATAGTAAAAACTGACTAATCTTGTTAATTTTATACATTTTTTTATATGTGTGATAAATAATTTTACTTGAAATATGCAACATAAAATATGATGCCAAAAAAGCTAGTTAAATATATAGGATTTTATTACTTTTTCCCTTTGGTTTTTCTTGAATAATTTTGTTTAAGACGCAATTCTAATTCTGGTTTGCCTCTGTAGTCTGGATTCTGTGATCATGGTTAATTTCTCTTGTATAGATTTTCAAAATTTTTTGGTGGAACTGGTAGAATCTTTGCATGTTTCAATGTATAGGAACTGATCAATATGAACTCTTGCTGGACAGCTCACTTCCCATAATGCTGAATGTTAAATTAATGAAGAGTCCTGCTACACTAGTGTTCTACTTGTTGATTGCAAATTGAAGTGCATTACTTTACAACATCACTCTTGACACAACCAACCACTTCTAATAGTAGCAAAAACAACTTTATCAATACTTTCAAGATAGTAAATAGATGATTTTCTATTTTCTTTTATTAACCTGACCTTCCTCTTTTTCTCTGTGTATATATTAATGATGGGACAATACCAGTATTTTTACTGATTCAAATACAATTACCGATATTGTTCTAAATTTCTGATACCTACAATGATTAAAATTCATTATTTTCAGGTCCTACAGTTGATTTGGGAAACTTAATGAACAAGGTACATTTATTAATAAAACATTTAGTAGAAAAATAAATAGAGAAGCTTATGAAATAATGTTAGATATCCTTTTTAATTGAATTGTAAGAGTTTAAACAATAAAGAGAATTTCTTTGTATAAATCACTCAAGTAACTACTAACTATACTGCTGACATATAGCTTTACTTTGGAAGATTTGTAAGATTTCTGATGAAAACCAAACTACACTTTTCTTTTTGACATTGGATACACTTGACATAATTGGGGTTTGAAATAATAAACATCATTTAAAATTTTAATTTTTCACTGTTAGATAAAATATCTTTCTAGCTTTCTAATGTGTATAATTTGTAAAGATTCAAATAGTAATGGTTTGATATTAATTGTAAAATAAAAAAGGGACTTTTTTCTTTTTTTTTTTTTTTTTTTTTTTTTCACCTTTTTAAGTTTTAACAAGCAAACATGTCCTCTAAATATTATGCAATCTCCTTAGATTTTTTATGTAGCATTTTTCAATGAATGGAATAAATTTAGGGGTGACAATTCAATTTCAGTATGCACTTAAAAAATAAGTAATACCTTAATTGTAACAATAATACTCTAAGTAGAGAGGCACCATCCTAGGCATTGTGGTTTAATTCATGCATATATTTTGATAAAGTACAGGGTGTACCTAATCCTGCAGGACATTGAAGAAAAAATAAATGCAAATTTTAAATTTGCTTGCAGATGTTCAATAAGAATTAAATATGAATTATCACAGCAACTTAAAGGGTCTTCAATCTTATCTAAAAAAATTTAATCACTAATAAGTTTTACTGTCTAATTTCTCGCAACTAAAAAATTTAATAATTTCTAAAAAGAATCAAAAAGTAAAGTATTTTATTTTTGCTAAAAGAAAAGAGTAAAAGTGCAACACAGTAAAAATACCTTGATATTTTTTTTTTTTTAAAGAGATATAAGCATTTTAGCAAACTTGACAATGAATTTAAAAAATAGTAAGTCAAAAGCTAAATAATGCTGATATCCAACTTGATCATTTTATAAAGTATGAGATTCAACTGTTATAATGCATTAAAATCTTCATAAAGACGTGAGCAAAAATGTGTATTTGCATGGGATTGATTTTTTTTTTTTTTTTTTTTTCAGTTATTTATTTTGAAGTTGAAATTTTACTAGTTTTATTTTAAAAATATTAAAAGAGGAAAAAAACCATTGCAGATAAAAAATGGGATAATTTTATACACTTATAAAACTTGTTTGGCTCCTAGGAGGAATAAATGAGAAAAAAAAGTTAAAAAAATATTTAAATGCCATAATAAAAGGAAAGTTCAATAATAAAGAAAAATAAAATTAAATACAATTTTTGATGGAAATTAAATTTTAAGTTTTTTAATACAAACTTTTGTGTGAAAAAGTTTTTTTTCCAGGAAACTTCAAATAAAAGTTGTTTTTTTTTTTTTTTTTTTTTTTTGTTTTTAAGTAAATAAAAATGAAAAACTGTTTCAACAGCTATAAAATTTTAAGAAATGCATGAATTTCATAGAAACAAATTTAAATTTTATAAAAGGAATGTTTACTTTTTTCAGTCTCAGTTATTGAAAATCCAAAGAATTGTTTTTGGAATTGGAAATTAGGTTAAAATCTTGCCGATTCCAATACCCCTAAAATTTCTGAATTTCTGTTCAAAACTGGAATATTTATCTTGAAATTCGTTTGAGAACTGAAATATTCTTAAGATTACAAAAATTGAATTATATTCAGACAGCTATATTTAAACCTTCATTAAAATGCATTGTATCAATAAATAAAAGGGTTTATTTATTAAATTTTAACTTATTGTGTGGCAAAACATGTTTTCTGGTCTGTTCATGATTGAAAACTAATGAGTATACTTTTTGCACATCTGCCTCTCAAACTGCAGCACTAAAGGAATTAGTGTTAATGGACACAGTCTGGTATTTGCAGCGGTACTGATGCAACTGTGTAATTTGTGCACCTGTTCTTATGCTACTGCATCTCATCTTTATGAGAAAGAAAAATATTCTTATTACTCATGTTACTTCAATAAATAGATAAGTAATTTGTAATTCAGATGAATTTGAATTTCTTTGTTACAGATAGCTTTATTCTTTTATGTTCTAAAAAGAACAAAAAAGAATATTGAGTTGAAACTTATTAATAATTTATTATTGTAGTCTTTTCTTCATTTCTTTTAAACATGTAAATATCTTCTATCTCAACACTGATAGCCTATGTGATACACATTTATTTTTGTTCATATTTTATATCACAATGTGCTTTACAGTATTTATTCTAAACCATTATATGTATGTATATACATAGATACATTGTTTTTAATTTTTAATTCAGATGGATTTCACCTGAATTTGACAAGAACCAAGTCCGAATTGTTGTCTATGTTGATAGTGATGTGCGTGGAAGGCAGTTGCTCTTTGATTCAAAAGCCTTTCATCAGATGGATGAAAATAATGAGGTATAGTATTCTTTGTTATTTAAGATTGCACAGACTTCAGTAATGTACTTGTTTGAGTCATGTACTTTTTGAAACTATGCTCCCAAGTGCTGGTCTAGACAATTGAAAAATAAAAGAAAACAAAATGGCTTCTACTTTTAGTATTATTGTGCTGCTTATGCCTTTAAAAAAGACAAACTTTTGTACTGTCAAATGGACAGTAAATGCTCTTGTCTAAAATCCTAAAAAATATCTATCATTTCTTCTTTTCAATGGAATAAAAAAAAAATGGTTTAAATTTATAAATTTTTAAATAAGAATAAATTTAAGCTCATTTTAAACAGTCAAATGAGAATTGTTCTAATTTATTACATTATAACAAATTGGTTTATATAATTTGTCAATTTTCTTGCTTTGCTTTCAGATATAGTCTTAGCTTAAACTCAATTGTAGTGACTTTTATTGACTTTATGGCATATTAATAAACTAAAATGTCAGAAATTAGATAGTGGTGCATTGGATAGTTTCATTCTCCCTTGTAGAAATGTACTCAACCAGATGATGTGACAAAATAGGTAAAGAGATAGTGTAGCAGTGACAGGAATTAATTAACCACAAAATGCTTGTTGGAGTCAGAAAGTAGCAACTACTGTTATGTATATTTTTTTTCTTTTTTATAACAATAACAAGGGTATACCAGAAATATGTGAATCCCAGGCAGATACCAGCACAACTGTAAACTGAGTGCCCACACAACAATTACTGGGTCAGAGAATATCCCAATTGGATTGTGGGGAGATTAGTGCTGTGTTGCTTGGTCAACTGAGCTACATTTCCAGCTCATTTGGGTAGATAGTTGAGTTTGTGTAAGGAAAAAAAAATGCATAAAGCTATGGATCCAGCCTGTCAGTAGTGTGTTGTATAAGATGGTGGGGTGAATTTGGCTAGAGTTTGCAAAGAAGACTTGTGAAACTAGAGTCCTTTTTGACAGGTGTGACATACACAAGTCTTGTGATATCAAGAAAATATGACCCTCTCCCCATTATGCACAAGTGATATGAAACTGGATCAAGGAACACTTGCCTAAGTTCTAGTTACTACATTATTCCCAGCACTTGTTAGATTTAAACACCATTGAATATGTATGGGATATGTTGCAGTCCTATATTATATGTTGCCACATCTAATAAACATAGCTACATTATGGCCTTGAAATGTGCCTGGTTATATATACTAACACAATGATTTGAGTAATTTAGATTCCATGCTATGTGGCATAAGTGCTGTCATTTAAGTGAAAAGAAGAAATACACATTATCAAATATATCTCTCACTCTATCTCTCTCTTCATTTTCTCACTCTTTGCTCCTTTTGCTCTCACTCTTTCCTCCCACTCTTTGCTCCTTTTGCTCTCACTCTTTGCTCCTTTTGCTCTCACATTTTGCTATCTTTGCTCTCACTCTCTCTCTCTCTCATTATCATAATGAAATGATAAAAACCCTTTTAAATTGATTAGCACCATAGTCTAGATCCATGGAAACATACTTGGGCCATCTTAAAATTAATTTCCATCAGACACTCTTCATATTTATCTGGCACAAGGCTAATCAAGATTTGCATTTTTTGCTGCTTTTGTCTGTAATAATGTCATCTTGTAGTATTGGATATATGCTTGACAGAACAATTTTTTTTCACCTATCTGTTATTGTAATCTTTAGCTCCATGTAAAAATGTGATTATATGATTTATTTTATTAGGTCTCTCTATTAAGCCATTTTCACTATCTTTCAAATTGGTTGTGCATCCATAATATAACTTAACCAATATGAAGGGACCTTACTGCAAGTTGGCATTGAGAAGCTATTGATTGAATTGATGTACTTTGTGACTTGTATTCACAAGGACTGTGTGAGTAGATTCTTAACATCTTGCACAGGATCTTTTTGGAAAGGATTGTATCAGCCTCACATACAGTCCAGAATTTTGCCCCCTGAAACTTCTGGCTTTCCCCAATCACTGTTGAAATTCTATGTACAAAATTAAGAGCGAGAGGGAGCAGATGGTGATTCTGAAAATGACTTTGCAGACCGTTTTGAAAAGTGGAAGTGATGTTAGGATAAATTCGAGTTTCCAAGAAGAATACTTTGAAGAGGTCTAAGGTAATAAATACTACTTTTTTTTTTTTTTCTAATGCTGTGTTTGTCCCTATAAGATGTAAATGCTCTTGACTCTCCATAGATTTATTTATTACATCAATTTGTAGGAAAGATCATGGATTATTTGGAAATCAGCCTTTCTTCTCTTGGACTGGCTGACACTAAAGACTACAGATCCAAGTCTGCCCTGCTATTTAACCCATAGCTGGTGTGAGGAGAGATAAATTCATGCCTTTCTCATGTGTATTTGTATTAAATAAAGCATAACAGACTAGGCCTGGAATATGAACTTGTTTTACTGTTTCCACTTCCCATGTTGATAATTGTAATGCTAAGTTATTTGTTTTTATTTATTTATTAAATGACCAGAGACTTCCTGGAATTATTTTCTAAATTAATTTAATAAATGTTTGTTAAAATCTTGACTTGTTAAGCTGTTGATTGTCATTGTAATCAATGTTGGTGGTTCAGGTTTCTGTGCATAATTAGCAGGTTGTTCCACTGATCTCTCAGCGTTGCTGTCCACTCCTTGAAAACTTCACTGACTCTTTTGTTTTCTTTATCTATCCTCTTAAGAGAGGAGTGTTTATAAATTGCTGTTTACTGAACCTCACATGTAATTATTATTAGTGTACAGAAACTGGGAGGCTTTTATTTTTCTTTCCAATTTCTTTCTTATATTTATGAAAGTGCTTTCAGCATTTCAACAATCATAGTAAATTTTAAAGTTTTAAAAATGTTGTGAAAAGGAAGCAAACCACATTAAATGATTCTAAAGGCTTGGATGCAACGTCCAATTAAGGAATGCTGATTAATATATTGCCTGAAACAGATAACAGATAAAGCCAACATTCAAGAAATATATGAAATTAAAAAATGAAATAAAAAGTAAAACTACAATTAACAGAAAACTTTTATAATTTCTCTAACATATTTAATTTGGAAGTCATTAGCATGAATGTTTTGCCAACATATTTTCTAGAAATACCTGCCTGGGCAGTAAAATAAACTTGCTGCTCAAAGATTAGTGTCTGTTGGATTTATAGGAAAAGGTGGTCACTGACATAGAAGCTGTAGTCAGTTTTATCCACTTGCTATTTAAATCTCAGCAAACTTACTGTATTCTTGCTTAATCTATGCATGCGTGCATATATACACTCACTCTATCTTTTAATAACTTTTAATGGTTTTATTGCTTTGGCTGTGTTGGGATAGATATTTGCTAAGCTTTTTCTGGCAGAAGACCAAAAATTGTGGAGCATTCAGTAAAGATTAAGCATGCTACAGTGATAATGCCTTGCTAGACAATCTTGTTGTTCTTTCATATTTGTTAGATGCTTGTTTTGAAGGAAAAATTCTTGAAATAGGGTGGATACTTATTGATAATTATAAATGAGGGTTTTGTAAAAGATTTTGGCACTTAAGAAAAAGTGCCTGTGAAGACTTTGAAGAGTTAATAATGCTTTCCTTTTTTATTACTAGCAGGGATACCTGGTATTGTCTTGGGGGCAAAATAACTTCAAATATAACATAGGAAAAAATTTCTTTTTATATAGTTTTTCTTACAGTACCTAACAATCAGAGAAGAAAATTAGATTATTTACAGATGAAAAATTTGTTGTTACTGAAAAAATAGTATGATGTGCAAAATTATATAATTCCTTATATTGACAGTGCTTCTGGGCACAAAACATTAGTACTTCTCCCACTTGGTACTGGTATGAAACAGTTTGGGGGTTCAACCCTAGAACAATCAAGCTAAGTTGGTCATGAGTTTTAGTAATTTTTTTTTTTTTTTTTTTTTATACATCTTATCAACCTTGGTGTGTTATTTAAGAACAAAACATATTTTGGATTGTAAGTATTTTTATTTATTTATTTAAAAAAATTTTTTTTTTTGCTAGTGAATATTGCATTAACAACTTTTTTGAGGATCACATTGATTTTTTTTTTCAGATAGAAGTCCTACTATTTAGCCTATAGCTGCAGGGAAGTAGATGGATTCATATCTTTCTCAAGGGTATTTGTGTGTAAGTCAATGTAAAAAAAACTGACTGGCATTTTAACTTGGCTCTATGATTTCTCATTCTGAGCCAATATCAATTATACCACCTGCACATTTCTGATCATGGGAAAATCATGGAGAATTCTGACTGCAGACAATGTGTTGATTGCTATAGTAAAGCTAGATCTCACTGTGGATTGAAAACACTTTAATTGAAAGTGCAAATCTGTTGGAATTAAAGAGACTCTGGGAATGAAGACATTCTCTTTTTTGCTTCCCCCATTTAGAATAGTTGCCTTAATGGTGTTTCAGAAAAGTTGTACCATTCCACAACTTCTGAGAAGAATGAGAAGCAACCCCTACTCTAAAGAATTGAGAAAAACTATTGGATTTGAGCAGTCTCTTAACTGTTAGAAACTCTCAGTTGACATTTAAAACTGATCCTCATCTTTGAGTTTTTCATTGATTACATTATTCTTTGGAGAAAGAATGCTTTGATCACAAATCCACTGGTTGCTTCTATAGTTTTGAGCCATATTGTACATTTAACAAAGTTAAATAAAATCAAGTTTAACTACAAATATTTTAGAATTTTTGTTTGAAAATGTTTTACAATATTTTCCAAACAAAATAGAAAAATAAATTTCTTTAGCCATTTGAGATTTTTGTCCCTCCCCAAAATGTTTTGATTATTTGTTTTGTGACTCATTATCCACTTAAAGAAAATAACCTAAAGTAAAAAAACACTCAGCGTATACCTCTGTCATTGTCACCATTACTAAAACTACTTGCAGAGGAAGTAACTTGAAATGTGTTATTCTATTCCTCATAGCACACCCTGCTGTCAAATTTTATACAAA